CTACAGCTTAACAGCGCGATCTCACCCTTTGTGCAAGCAGCAGCCTCACCGTTTGTACAAACGCGAAGCACATGTATGCACACAACCGTTGTCTTGGTTAACAAATCATGAATCCCTCGCGCCATACGGCTGCTCCCAGGCTCGGGCGATATCGCACAGCTGAGCTCTCGAATGCGATCTGTCAGCGGCGACTTTTTCCCGTGCCTCAGTACCGGTCCCATAGGTTCACTCGCAAGGAGCATCGTGTGTATATGTAGGACAGCACCATTATCCTGGTAGTGCTTGAAAAAATCATTATTTTCGCAGCGGTATCGAGTTGGCTCAATTGCACCATAACGTACGCTATGCAGAATAAATACAAGTGAAGCTGCGACACTTGAGTTTAATTCCGGTTCAGCCTACCTTGCAGAAGCGTTGCAAGCGTCTAGCGCGTTGGTCGCTCGCCCGTTACTGCCTTCCATCGGGCACGGCTGATCTGTACGACGACTCCTTCGCCTGAATGCTGTCAGCAAAGGTAATTTGTCACACACACAACTAGCGCCACAACGCTGGAAGTCCATCACCAAAACGAAGCGAAATTGAGGCGGGCCGCCTGAGTGCGGGTCGTTCTGCGTCGGCTCAATGCAGCTGGAAGGGTTGAGCAGAGCTGAGGGAACGGACTGATCTTTTCGCGCCGCATTTCTGTCCCAACCTCAGCTGCTGATGCTGGCGAAGCGGCATGAACTGGTAGAACCGGCACATGCTGGGACCGGGCTCGATGCCAGCTTGGCAGGGAGACCGCCACTGTTCCTCTTCTGTCCCTCTGCTGTCGTCGTGGTCGCTGAGCTGTCGATGTCCGCTTATCCTGATGGAGCATATAGAAACAGAAAACCAAAACAGAAGCAGAAACAGACAGAAAAGTGACGGCGGGCCTACAACACACAATGTTGCTTGGCAAATTGTTGACCTACCATCCTAAGAATCAGTTGTGATGCAGAGTATGAGGTAGATGTCTACTTGTACTATTTCATCAGGCCCCTGGCCACCGTAGTGTTGATTTTCTCGCCATGTTGGTCATGCCCCCATATTTGTTAAAAACTGGCCATGATCTTTACTTTCACAAAACCCAGGCTCAAGTGGTGAAAACTGAATAAAGCACAAACCCCACCTACTTCGGAAATTATTTGAAGACCATGCCCATGACTGCTCTCCTGTTCATATAAAGGACTTCTCTATCTACAATACACAACCAAAAGCTACAAATGACCATTTGTAAAAATACAGTGTGCCAAATACATCGTTAATTACACCTTTCTGGGGAGATTCGATTGTCGGGTCCCCGGCTCCGGCCCACAACCATTTGTATACATCGGCGCCTCTAGGATGTGGTGCAGGTGAGAGCCATTGAAATAATTCAGTTACGTCGGTGACAGGTCACGCCTGCTGGGGGGTCATCAGCGCCATGCCAAGTCTTCCTGGGGGGAGCATACATGCTTCCAGCAATGGCTTTGATCTAGACGAGTTTTGCGGTGATGAAAGCCAGATAGCCAGATCTATGAAGCTTAATGCCAGTCAGTAGATGTCTATAACACGATTTGTAAATTCCGGGAATATTAATATGACCAAGAGAAAGCCTCCCTGCACCTGTCATAATCAGGTTCCTAGTACACTGGTCGCGGAGCGGTCACAATGTGTTATCAGTTATGGGCACGAATGACGTCAGATTATATACACCTTTGTGGTTGACACAGTTGGCGGCGTAAGCCATTTGAACAAAAGTTAAAAGGTAGAAGGTTGAACATGTGCATCACGAGGCTACGTCACGTGTTGTGCTTTATGCTGTTGCGTTAACGCAACCTTGTTACAAAGTGAGCGAGCAAGCAAGCAATGTCTGCTATGCCTAGGGCGCTCTTTGACAGAAGTCCCTGAGCTATATACTGCAGAGAGTAATCAAAATCCTAGTGCGTCTTTACGTCAGCTTCGTGCCACGTAAAACCAACATATTTGCGCATATTTCCCCTTAAATAGAGAAATATAGAGTTCTGAAACATTCTGGTTTCACCATGATTTCATCATCATTTCACAGGCATTCCGGTCAAGTGGCGCATTGTGGTTTTACTCACGTGTTGTAAAAAGCAAAGCACATGAAAACATATTCTTTTCCTAACGAGGACCAGGGAGTCCAGTGACACTTTTCCCGCGTGTGCGCCTGCCTGAAATATATATTTTGAGCTCTTAAAAAGGAATTCAAGAAAACTGTCATTACTGAGTATATCGAAAGCGTCCAAGCTAACTATGGGTGGAAGTGTTTCAAAGCACGTGGCACATGCTATTAAGCGTTTGAAAAGTTTCCCACTACGGTCGTCCCAAACTGTTGCTCGAAACTTAGCGGAAGATTTGCTGAGCCATCCGTACTAATCTGTGTATTTAGTTCTTAGGTATGATGAGATGGAATTGGGTTTGAAGATAACAAGGCTGTTCTTGCATGCTCGCACTGCCCTTTTCGCCGTGAAGGTCGGAAATAGAGGACGTGAATGCCATAATGATCTGTTTCTGAATATTTGCGAGAGGAACGTCTTGCACCCTGAGATCACACCCAGCATAACGCACGCAGTGAACGGTCTCTGAGAATCACGCGCAAGGGAAGATCTCACCCTCCCCCCTCTCGAAAACAGAAAGAGAAGAGGTAACCAAATTCACCGGGTAAGTAGGTTCTATAAATATCTACGTTGTATGAAAATCTCATGACCGAGACCAATGCCTTCAAGGTCAAATGAGGTTCAAGTGGTAAAGCTGCAAGTTGCGTGGCTAGGCCTCCCATCCTTGTAAATATCCGCGATCGAGTATACCTGTACCGAAATGAAATGGGATTAAGCTATATTTCTGACATTGTTTACAATACAATACAGGTGTGACATTTGGCAGTTGATCTCTGGCTGTTCATAAATTAGAAGTTATTCTCTGTTATGTAATGCGATTTCCGAAGGGAAAGTACAAAACTTTCACGAATTTTTCGAATACTTATCGACTTTTGAGGACTTACACTGATCATAAACTTGCCCGCATCGGTCTCGGTCACTTAGCGTGATTTTGGCATTGTCATGCAAAACAATGCTCAAGAAAAATATTGCCAGTAGTGTAAGGAACATTCCCTTTCTGCGGACATCTCAGGGCCGCGCCAACGCCAATCGCCGCGCCCGGAAGCCGGGGCTATTGTTGACTGGGCTGGCTGTAATTTTTCAACTTTCCAGTAACTTGAATTTTCTTCACATGGAACGACGCGCTAAGACTTCAATTACAAGTTGACAAAAATATGAATAGATGGCCATTCATTCCGTATTACCCCTCCGGTTTAAATACATTTATTTTAACCGGAGGGGTAGATTTCGACCAATCCCCCAGTTCGACGAAGACCCCCGCACAGGTCCAGGCTCCCTCGAGGTGCGGAGGAGTAGGTAGGGCGTATTTAATCGGCGCACCGATTTATCTGATTCTCCACCATTGTATTTTCATAGTCAAGCACTGACCAGGAGTATGGTCGAGTGGGTGCTCCTCTCCTGCATCGGGTCTCGGTCGACCAGAGCCGCTGTGTGACGTTCTGACGCGACCCGCGGCAGCTGACCCGCCCGGCCACAGTAGCGGCGCTGTCGCCGCTGCGCAGGCCCGCTGTCACCGCCCGGTGACCCTCCCACCCCACCGAGGTCAACCCCGCTCCAGGAGACACACACCTGTCACCCGGCCACTTTCAGCGTCCCCTCTTCCAGGAGTGTCCAACCCTCTGCTGTGAGGCGGAGCGACACGGTGTCTCAAGGAGCCCTTTTGTACATGTTCTCTCAGAGGAGATCGTAGTTGGTTGTGTATCGTAAGATCGCACTCAGCTTCAGGAGCGCCCGGCGCGCACCCGACGTGCGCCTGTCCACGGTGGGACCTGTTCGAAAGCTATGGCGGCTGGTCGCTGACGTGCCGCTTCGGATACGGCCGTTCGCAGCATGGAGTGCTGTGTGCGCGTGCAGCATTCCATGGCGCCCGAGACGCGACCGCAGGCACGGAGCACACCGGCGTGCGTCTCTGCGTTCCGCGCCCCACGTCCAGCCAGACGCCATTTGCGCGGAGCCGTCGCTGGTGCAACGTATCGGGTCGGGTCGGGCCGGGCCGGGCCGGCGCCACCCGGCGGCGCGGCGCGGCCGCCGCTCGACGGGCCGGCGCGTTGCTGGGCGGGCGGCGCCGGCCGGCCCCGCCGCGGCCGGCCGCGCGCGGCGCGACACAACCATCGATCGGGGCCAGCCGGGGCGGCGCGCGGCCTTGGCGCGAGCCGCGTCTCGTGCGGCCCCCGGTACCACGTGACCGGTGGTTCGCGCGCCGCCGAGTCGATAAAGCGCGCGCGCGGGCTGCGGCGCCGCCAGCCTGCGTGGCCGACTGCAGGCGCTACGCGGCGGAATGTGGCCGCGTCTGGCGCCGACAGTCGCGAGCTGGCGCTGCGCGCGAGCTGCCGCCGCCCGGCGCCGGCCGCCAGTGGCGCGCCGCACCGCCCCACGCGCGGACAGGGCAGGCACGCCGTGCGGCCGTGGCCACGCCGAGTGATCGCGCCGCCCGTCTGACGCTGGCCTGGAGACCGCAGCCTCTGCGCCAAGCCGCCCGAACGCCGAGTGAAAATAAGCGAACTGGCCACTTCCTCCCGCTCGGAAATTGGCCGTGCCGCAGTGCCGCGAGCTGCGGGTGACGTGTGCGGTGCTCAGTCGCCGGATTGACTGCTATTGACGGCGGGTGACTGTCTGCGGTGCTTTTGCGAGCTGTGCCGGTCACCGGGCGCGTGCGGGTTCGAACTGGTGCCTGTCGGCTCCGTCGCGACGGGTCGGTGACGCGGCGCCGGTGGGTGGTGCGCCGGCCAGCGCGTCGCCGCCTGACCTCGGCCGTCTGGGCCGCGCCGCGCCGCGCGCCGGCGGCCTCCGACGCGCCCCCCTCCCCCGCCCCGCCGGCCGGCTGGCCGGCCCGTCCCCGCGCGCGGTCTGAGCGGGCGCCAGTGGCGGCCGATGGAGGTGGTGCCGATCCTGCACGCCAGTCGGCCCGCCTACCAGGTGGCGCAGGTGCCGGCGCGGCGCCGGCGGCGTGGTCGACGGCGCCCCGTCGCCGTCGACTCGGCCGACCCGCGCGGTCGCAGTCACCTCTCGAACAAGACCGCCGAGGACCGCGTGCTCGAGTACGGCGCCGAGCTGTTCCGCAGCAGCGGCGAGCTGCTGCTCTGCCAGTTCTGCGACAAGCCGGTCGACCCACGCCGGCGCAGCTCGATCGAGTATCACCTGAAGAGCTTCTCGCACCAGCGCAAGGTGCGCTCGCTGACGGGCGAGGCGGGCAGCCCGGGCAGCGGGTCGGACAGTCCGGCGGCCGGCGACGAGCCGCAGCCGCTGCTGCTGGAGCCGGGCGCAGGTGAGAGACCACCGCCAAGGCGCGGGGGGGGGGGGCTGAAACGTGACGCAGGCACGGCCGACACAGCACGACACGGCCGTGGGTGGGGAAGGCGGCGTGACGACAGTGGCAGTGGTCAAACCGGCTTCAATGTTCAAATTTTCACCACCCAAATTTCCAAGACTGAGACACCTGATACCATATGTCATGCGACACGTAAATAGTAAAACAATGCGTGCACCCTTCATCGGTTTTAAGATTCCACGAACCAGCGCGATGGGAGAATCTGGATCCCTACAAAACATGAGTACATAAATCAGCTTTGCCGCTTTTAGGATTTGAACCTGAATACAACATCGATTCATGAATCAAGTTCGGCTTTTTCCATTATTTTATTCGCTCATCATTTTTGCTTTACACGACTTTGCTTTTTCGACAGTTTGTTCTCTCATTGTTTGCTATGAAGTTGCCTGATGAAGAACGAACCTCAGTTCATGCCGGGATTGGGATGATCCACTGTTGACTGCTTTTTAACATGACGTAAGCCATCTAAGCCGCGTGATGTGATGTGCTGCACGACTCTATCCTAAATGGGTATCGTGAAAAAGTACACGCCCTCGTATTTCACTAGGAAAGACCCGACTAACATCGAGAGTCAAAAGAACGCTGTATACTAATTTGCGAGGGAGGGGTCCCGGACAGGGCCAGGACGAGAATTGCGGACAGGGTAAAGGAGAGCTCCCGGACAGGGGCAGGACGAGGGTCCCGAATAGGGCAAGGGAGAGCTCCCGGACAGGGCGAGAGCGAGGGTAACGGACGGGGCAAGGGAGAGCTCCCGGACAGGGCCAGGACGAGTGTCCCGGACAGGGCGGGGACGAGGATCCCGGACAAAAAGGGGAATGATAACCAAATGGAACAAGTTACACGAATACATTCGAACGAAAGTAGTCGAAATGAATAAAGATCGACAGGGCTAAAAAAAATGTAGGCAAAGCCGAAGGATTGGTAGTCGTCAGGGAGACAAGTCGAATAAAAAGAAAGTGTACGGACAAAGAGTCGAATTATATCAAAGTCAACAGGGAAAAAGTCGAGTCGAACAAAATCAAAAGACAAAAAGTCATAAAGATACAACTTAGGATGAAAGCCCAATCCGAACATGGCGAGAGGAACAAACGTCGACACTGGTAGAAAATCGCCAATCGTTTCCAGTAACAAAGAGGTGTCAAGGATGAAAATGGAGTCGGAAAAAGTTGAAAGGGACAGAAGTCGACAGGAATGGCAGTCGGATTGCAAACCAATTTAAGAGACAGAAATGGACACGGGTAACCGTTGGCTGGAATAAAGTAACAAGCAGGTAGCCAAACCCAGGCGAGAGCGGTCTTGCCTCAGTGTTGTGTGGCATGTAAACACTCCGCATTTTCTGGTGATAGGGCGGAGGAAAAGTTATTCCATGAATTGGACAGCACAACCTGGTGGTGGGCTCATGGTATTTGCAGCAAGCCATGATTAGCAGGTACCCTGGAACGAGGCCATCCGTGCCAACCATTCGGAAAAAAAAATGTCAAAGAGGGGACGTAAGGCTAGGAGAGTCAATGCTTTGACGCCTGGCAGGAAAGGGGGTGCTGCTAACTGTACTCGGATGTACCCGTGGATTCAATGGGTTTCCCTGCCTCGCATACGTGGATCATGTGATTTGGACCCACCCTCGCTCATGCGGTGAACGATTCTGGCAGCAAGCCAGCATCCGAGCCTTCATGACCTAACCACGCGAACTGCGCGCTAAGGGTATCAGATGACCGATGTACGAAAGTGCCCTGATAATCCTTATCAATGTCCATGAAAATTCCTTTTCTTATTTTCTGGGACGTGGGCGCACAGCGGCGGCGTCCGTCGCAAATTCCTTTTTTTTTCCTTAATCCTGGTGCTGACAGACACGTGCCTGGTTCGCAGTGTAAATCCTGGTTTCACTTCCAGTTCCGGAAACGAGATTTTGATCCTCTGCTCCAGTTTGCTACTTCCTAGGCCTAACTTCCCTGCTCCTGTATCCTGTCGGTTGTTTTGCAAAGAGCACCCTGATTCCTGGTTTTCACTGGTTCCTCAAAAGTATGGGTTCCTGGCTCCCTCCGGTTTCTTCATAAGCCATACAACCCAGGTAGTGGTTCCTACTGGCTTTCCACAAACATCAGACCCTGGTCCCCTGCTTCCCGCCATTTCTTACACAAACATCAGACCCTGGTCCCCTGCTTCCCGCCATTTCTTACACAAACATCAGACCCTGACTCATGGTACTCACTGCTGTTTTGGTTCTGATTGGGGGCATTCCACGACAAATCGACGGGTCGAAGGGTCAGTTTTACACCGCCATCCCTCGGATTGTGATAAAACTGGATCTGTGGGCTTCAGGGGCGCTGAAGACGCCTGCAGTATTTTTAGATCTCTCAGTTGAGCGTCTTTGGAGTTACAGTCTCCGGCATTTTGTGTTGTTAGGTCGAAGGGCTACCTTCGGCGGTGATTTTTTTCACTGAATGAAAGAAAGTTACATCAACGTACATGCCAAAAATATTCTAAAAACCTTCCAGACTACGTGTGTGTCGTGGCTGGAATCATCGCAAATGAAATATTCGTGGTGGCATTATGAGTATTTGAAATGAATGCAGAACCACTTTCCTACGCGATTTTGAGCTTTTCTCATTTGCATGTAAAACGTAGTATTCAGGAAGCGTTGTAAGCGTCAAAAAGCGTAGTATTTGCCCCATAGTCCAAAAATAAAAAAGTTGGTTATCGGCTTGGGCGACATGGAAACAAAGTCACGGTAAAAGACTACGCCTCATTCGCTCCACCCGCCGTCGGCCGCGGGCGCATTGACCTCCCGCGCCTCTCTCCGCACAGCCGGCGGAAAATGGGCGCATTTTGAGAAAACACTAAGCTTAATAACACGATGGCTCGTATACACGTGGAAGTCGACTCAGTGACTCGGTCTAAGTCACTCTGCGCCTACGTCACTCAGTCCAAGTCATAGTGCGCCAGTGGCTCAGCCTAGGTCACTCTTACCAAAAGTCTTCAAATCAAGCAACCGCTACTTCCCTCCCAACGCCTAAATCTAACACGCGGACAGTGACAGTCTGAGCACTCATTGGGGTCACTCTGTGAACATCCAGTGTCCCTTTGACAGTCATGGCCGTGGCCCAGCTGATGTTAAGCTAATCTTCTGCCCGAAGCACTTCTGCTTTTGGTACGAAGAAGCATGCCGTCCGCACTTTAGCCTTGCCCTGCAAGAACTGGTACAGCTTCTCAGCAGAGCGGATATGATGGAAATGGAGGCGCCTCTGGCTGGCACTGGCAGCAACCCTTTTTCAGGTCCCCCAACTCCGTCGCAAGAGTTCTTCCCATGGGACATGGCAACGTAATGCCAGTCATACTTCACGACAGTCCTCCTCCCAGGGGCCTTTGGGCGCCGGTAGTGTAGTGGTTAACGCGTCTGCGTTAACCACTGCGCGTCTGGGAGACCAGAGGTACGGGGTTCGATTCCTCAAGGTGCCCGCCCCTCTTCCCAGGGTGAGAGGCGGGCGACGCCATATGGCCTCAGCAGCTGGGTGCGTTGTAAAGCCCCAAAATAACAACAACAGGGACAGTTTTCCTCAAGAAAACAAATGTACAAGTAATTAAACCTGTAGTGCGCGGCTGATGCGTCTTGGAAGTAATACACTTTTCCATATTTGAAACGACGCTTTTCGCCTCCGGTAAAAGGTACTGGAGAGATGTATGGACCGCAAAGTGCTATGTGTCATCGCTTTTGACAGCGGGCAATAGCTTTTATGTGTGAGCCGTCCAGATTCTGGCCAATATACCACGAAAGGATGCAGCGTCCATTGCAGGGCATCCCAACGAAACTGCTGAACTTCGTCTGGTACGACCAAAGTGTAGCTTTCTGAAAAGTCTAGAATCATTAAAGCTTCGTTTTCGGACAGTCGTGTAAAATTCGTCACAATTTGGGGGTCAATTTGACCCTCCTGAGATCTCAGGAAATAAGAGTTTTAGACGCCAAATTCATTGGGCGTGATGGCCTGTACGTGAACTCACTGGTTGCAAAGCTTAAGATTCCTAGGTAATGACATTTAGGTCAGATAAGGTCAAATAAAGTCAAACTCCGGGTTGGTGTCCAAAGTGGCCCCAAGTAAACCTAGATACCTGTTGTAATCAAAACGTTGCATGCTCATTTAAACTCAATGACCTTTTTTGACCTTTCGAAGGTAATGGTGACCAAATCATCGGGTGTTGACCCGGGCTACTTTAGTCAGTGACCTATTTTGACCTTTAAAAAAATAATGGAAGATCATGCGGTTCCTGTTATCAACAAATTTGAAGTAAGCACCAGAAACCACTTCATGCGGTTCCTATTATCAACAAATTTGAAGTAAGCACCAGAAGCCACTTCATGCAGCCAAGCCTCATAGTAATAAGACAGGTTGGTTTTGGCCTTGGTCTGACCTTCATATCCGATCTTTGGTCAATAAAATTTGTTCATTCAGTTGTTGTGCTGCCTGAGAAAGCATCTCAGAGATGTATGGTTTCTTCTAGCACTCCATTGTTGCATCAGATTGAACGATGCCTTAGAAATTGACATCGCTGAATCCATGGCCCAACCTGGACTTACCGTCAGTCAGTGACCTTACAAGGTGCATCTGACTGTTTTATTTCAGACGATCCTCCGTCCAATTGTCTACAGCTATGTACAGTTTGGCGCGGCCACGATGCGCGGTTCGGAAACCGTTCCGGAAACACGCTTGGGGGGGATCGACTCACCCGGACACCTGAGCGCGTGTTTATCACGACGATCGCGCGCCATCGCAAGCGCGGACAATTCTCACACTCCAGCATCATGCAGGATGATGTTCATAAGGACGCATCATACATTCTTATGAACGTCCCACTCGGCGTTACTCGGTAGGCCCTTTTAAGTGACATCTCGCAGGCCAAGAGATCCAACCACCAGCTTCGCGTTCTGGTGATTACAGCGCACG